CAAAATTAAAGCATGACACAGGTTTTTAATACATTTTTTTCTAAATAATAATAATAATAATTTATTGGCCAAACATCAATACAAAAGTACAAATTAATAGTACAAAAACAAAGTGTCAATGTTTAGTCAACTAATAATAATAATAATAATAATTTATTGGCCAAACATCAATACATTCTATTCATAAATAAATTCTAACATAAAATTAAAAAAAATATATTAATAGGCTGGCGAAAGGGCTAACGACTGAGGTCCATTTTTTCTATTTATTTTCATTTATTAAATTTTACTTTTAAATCAATAACTTAATAAATTCATAAAATACATATTTACAACTTATGCATATGTTTAATTTTAAAGAATAAATTTCATGTAAAATCACCCAAATTTAAGTAATTAGTATTTAATAATTATAAAGGGTGTCCCAAAATTAACGCAAGATTTGAATTTGCCGCTGTTTGTGCAGTATGATTTTCAATAAAAATAAACACAAGACTAAAAACTGTGTTTTCTATTTTATAAAGGATGTTCCAAAATTAAGGCAAGATTTGAATTTGCCGCTATTTGTATTTTATGATTCAATATTTTTATTTAATCACAATCTGAAGACTAAAAACTGCTTAATTCAAATCTTGCGTTAATGTTGGGACACCCTTTAGTAAACACAAAGATTATTAATAGGATATTTTCACCTATTAACTTTCCAGTCTATTTTTTTTTTCAATATTCAAATCTTTATAAAAGCACTTCTTTAATCATAAAAATACATAGCTTCAATTCACATTAGTTGCTGCCAAAAGTTTTAATCGTCGAAAGGCAAATTTTTTACTAAATATATTCAATTATAAACAATAATATCCAAAAGTAAAGCAGATTTTTAATACATTTTTTCTAAATAATAATAGATATTATTGTTTATAATTGAATATATTTAGTAAACATTTTGTTTTTCGACGATTAAAATTGTTGGCAGCAACTAATGTGAATTGAAGCTATGTATTTTTAACAGTAGATAATGCTGAATAATGAAAAAAACAGGTAAGATGTTTTTTTTATGATTAAAGAAGTGCTTTTATAAAGATTTGAATTTTGAAAAAAAAAAATAGGCTGAAAAGGGTTAATAGGTGAAAATATCCTACGCAAGATTTGAATTAAATAGAAAACATAGTTTTTAATCTTCAGATTGTGATTTTGTTTTGGGATTTACTGCACAAATGGCGGCAAATTCAAATCTTGCGTTAATTTTGGGACACTCTTTACATGACATTTAATCGTTAAAATTAAACATATGCATTATGTTTATTTTAATTAATATGATTTGTATAAATATGTTGTAAATATGTATTTAATTATGTTTTTACAAAAATTTTGATCATTTTGTATAATTGTAGTAATTTTTGTTTGTTTTAAGATATTTGGATGATAGTTTGAAAAATAATTGAATTAATTGTGCATTGGTATGTGGATATTTAATAAGAGTGTTTTGTGTTAATTAACATTTCAGAAATGTGACTATGTAATTGGGAAGATTTGAGCTCGATTCGGAATAGTGATGAGGCTGAATAATAGATTGGTGGCGTAAATTGCGGCGGCGATTGGAATCAAACGACGACAGGTCATTAATGTTGGTTACATAAATATTGTGTCCCTATCGTGGCGTTTGGAATTTGGTTAAATAATATTAGAAAAATAAGTGCGGGGGTGGTGATCTGTATAGTTATATATATATATATATTTTAGGTGCACGTCAGCGTAACAGGTGGTTCGAATTACAGTGGTTTACAAGCAATATACCAAACGACTAGAGATATGGATAATTCTCAAAGATCAATATCCGGCACCGGCTGTACAGGGCCGCAGATAATCTGCCGTTATAGAGTTGTGACACATGAATACAAATGGCGGAGAGCTATGCACGTGTGTGCTTAAGGAGGAGGAGGAGGAGGAAAATGCCGACCTTGAAATGTGCGAAAATATCCAATTTGCGTGTGATGATCAGATTTGGGGTGCAGGTGGAGGATAGCCGTGCAGAACAGTTGTTTATTTTTTGGAAAGTAGTGGTGTTAAGTAATAATAAGAGAGAATAGGTGGAGGTGCGACTTGCTAGGTTGTGCTAAGTTTTTGTTATTTTTTTTAATACCTGATGCCTGAGGGCCTGGTGGCGTGTACAGGCTGAGGCCGTTATCCACAACAGGGCCCGGCTGCAAATCGCGCTTGTCCGACGATGAAACCATCACAACCTTTGGCCGGTCGTCCTGCCCTATCGGCCTGCTGACGTTCCTTTTCCCCGTGTCTGTAATAAGAACCACCTGTCAACACCCCGACAATAGCCAGAAGTAAGAAAAAAAAAATATTGCCAGAAAAAATTGTAACACCGGCACAAAACATGATTTATATATACAACGGTTTCATATTTCCCTCCTGCCCTTGTGTGTGTATATACTCGTATATCTATATATAATTTTTTTTTTCTCTGGTTCGCCTTTTTCCCGGTCCACGTTGCCCAGAAAGTTCTAAATTAATTAAAATGATGAATGAGGGGGGTGTACATATTTTGGGTGTGTGTGAGCAGGGGGCGGCGCGCCTCGCGAAAAAAAATAAAAAAAAAAACAAGTAAAGGGGGCTGCGAAAAGTTAGACGGCCCCGGAGAATAGAAACACACTTTAAACTCTGTTATACTCGTTCTTCTTGTTCTCATCTCCTTCCTTCTCTGCAGCATCTCACCTCCTCCTCCGCCTCCGCCTCCTTCATCTCTGCTTCGGCAAGGTGAGAGAGGTTCTTCGCAAAAACTACGGCCTCATTGTGTTGCCGAATATCACCGCAGAGAATAAGCCCGAGCGCCCTTCTTAACCCTAACTTTGGCCATTACACGAGCGCGTTATTGTAATGCCAAAGTTGGTCTTCTTTCCCTGGGCCCAGGTATTTATCACCGGCAGCTCAAACGGAATGACACGCCTGTACATCCATGTTATTAGTGCCAACCACCTCTTAGCCTGCACCTCCGGTATAGTTCGTGCAATTGCCAGGAGTATTCTCACATTTCCAAAACAAGCTTCCAAACTACGACTTTAATCTACAACTAATGCTACCTAATTGAAGAGAAAAACAACCCAGGTTTTTGCTTTTGTTTTTATTTACTACTAATAATCGTTGCGTGTCCGGTCCACGCAGAAGTAATACCCACCAAAGTCTGGAAACATCTAATTAAGTAACATCATAAATTCATCTCTTTAGAATACAGCCAAGTCCAATTATGTAAGCTCCAAGCCGATATCACATTAATCCTGAGGCTGGGGAAGAAAAATAGTCACACAAAAAAAAATTTATATAAAACGTCGGAGCCCAAGAGAGGAAGAGAGGTCCTTGCGACTGCACGCAATTATTCTCCTGAATTATTTAACCACTAGAAAAAAGAATTATACCGCCCCGTCATTTTACCCCATCCACCCCTTTTTTTTTCGCTCTCTCAACGTGGAAATAAAAAAAAATGTTGAAGAAGAGGGGAGAAGAAACCGCCCCCGGCATTAAACAAATTTACTCACTTTCTTTATTTGAACTGCTTTTCATTTCCGTGGCTCTGGGCGGCGTTGATGGCATCGGGATCTCTGCAAACACAAACCAGAATTCGTTTCATTATCGGGATTTTCCCTAATTTGCACTACTAGAGTGTTTCTAAATAACCATTTTTAAAGAATTAATTTATTTTTAATTTACTAAATTTCATTTAATTAACATTACTAACATAAAATATTATTTTGGGACTAGAAAACTGTTGTTATATAAATGTTATTATTAAATAATGAAACAATATATGTTGCTTCCAGTTTCTAGGATATATTTTAAAATAAAATGTATAATTAGTGAAAGCATCAAATTAATTCTCATTGTGCGATATTCGTTAAAAGTAATTATCTTACGCTGCTGCATCCACACTTTACGTGACGTGAGTCATAATTATCCGTACCAAATATCTACACATGGAAGCACAGCATGAAATTCAGTTCCATTGTCAACTGAAGCCATGATAACTAATAGTTGTTGGTAGGTCTGACAGACATGTATGTCTCACGTCACGCATAGTGTAGATGCAGCATTATTTTTTTTAATCATCCTTCAACAACTGTAACGAGCTGAAATCTAACTTATATAAACAAAAATGAACAAAAATACACACCACAATAATTGCATTTTTTTAATAAATAAATAAATTTTTAATTAGAAAAAAAAACATACTAATAAACGCATCGACAGATTTATATATAAATTTGTACAGTTAATTGAAATATTTCAAGTGATAAATTGAATCAATCAGAATGTTGGTATGACAGGTGGTTCAAAAGATAATTTTTAAAATTTACAACTGTAACGAGCTGAAATCTAACTTATATATACAAAAATGAACAAAAATACACACCACAATAATTGCATTTTTTTTAATAAATAAATAAATTTTTAATTAGAAAAAAAACATATCTAATAAACGCATCGACAGATTTATATATAAATTTGTACGGATACTTAGAATAACTCAATTTAATAAAAAAATCATATCTAATAAACGCATCGACAGATTTATATATAAATTTGTACAGTTAATTGAAATATTTCAAGTGATAAATTGAATCAATCAGAATGTTGGTATTACAGGTGGTTCAAAAGATAATTTTTAAAATTTGCTCATTTCAACCCTCGATAACTTGTTTGGGGTTGGTTATTTTTTGATTTTTTTTTAGTTAAATTACTATATAAGCAAGTACGTTTAATATAAAACTATCTTTTTAAAAATCCATACAAAATAATTGCAATAAATTTTGCAATTATTTTGCAAAATTATTTTATATTTATATGTTTATAATATAATTTGATTTGATAAAGTATATATTTTAAAGTAAATTTATGATGTAAAGGATCTGATAAACAACTGTTACAAATAGTCCTGCAGATAAAGAAGTTGCATAAAAAAAGAGGGAAGTTTGTTAGATAATAAAATCAAAATTCAGGTTAAGCCGGGAACTCTTTGTTAGATTAGTGTAATAGTACGATAAGGTAGAATTCGTGGGCCATTAGGCATCGCCAACCCTCGGCGTTGTGGGGGTTGTAGGTCGAACCTTTTCGTACTACATAGTAATTACATTTTTTGATAAGATTCATACGCGCGTTGCACACGTACAAAGGGGAATAAAACGGTCTTTTAAAGCCGTAAACAGACCGCCGGTCTACAGCACAATACGCTGAACTTAATCATGTTTAATGTGCGGATTCGTATCCTGCGCAAAAAAAAAGATACAGCTAGATATAACCGGATAAGTGTTCATTCTCCGATGCACGTATCAATTCAATTACCAACCATAAAAACCATTCCGACACACAAGATCATTATTACCAATAACGTTCGGTTCTCCCAAAATAAAAATAATAGAAGAACAATATGATAGGGGTTGTAAAAAAAATATATATTACAAATCACGTAAAAAGGGACGCGATTTCTTTTCTATAAACGTAATACATGGTAATAACAATTTAGTTAATGTTATCATTACCGTTATCCTTTCCATTCGATTCTATTATTATATCAGAGAATTTGAGACAAAAATAAAACTGGATTGAAATGTATATAAATATAATGAAAAGGTTATGACATTTTCATTATTTACTATGTAAATATTGTATGATATTTCATTTTGTGACGCTATTACCATTTATCCCATCAATTTATAATAAGATCATGGTTTCCACTTAGCGAAATTGTAGATTCGTTCGAAGGCGTATTCAGCAAAAGGATTTATTTATGAGGGTATCAATCATACGAATTTCCTCCCCCATCCATTTTTACTATCCCCCCCAAGTGACAGGTATTAAACCGGTGTATCTTTGGAAATGAAGTTTTCTTATTACCACCAGTTATGATGTGTTACGTTCTTTTCGCCGTGCATCGGTTTAAGGAGAAAATGTTAACGGGAACAAATACTTTAATGAAATTGAATCCTGTGCAGTTACGTGCAAACATCCACAATTGCCTACCGTTCACATACATGCAACGTAAATGCAAACACTAAAGTTTCTCCCCAACTTGTAACTTTATCGTTCTGGGGCCAAACCAGACAAGTGCAATGTACATTTATACACAGACACATATATACATGAGATTGCGTGAATAGAAAAGTACTCGACGGAATTTAAATAGAAATGTAAACAGTTTTCGTTAATAGTTGAAAAAAATAAATTTCTGATTGAAATAATAAAATTATTTGATTTATAACTACTGTTAAGTGTGAATTTATATACTCAATAAACAAGGGGCATTAAAGTTGATTTAGTTGGGAATATTTATTAAGATGAGAAGGAAATGTGTGTAAATGTTTTACACATATTATGTTTATGATTTATTTATGGGCAGATTTATCGGGGCCATAAAAAAAATAAATAAATATATATACATATAGAAACAAGTGTAGTGAAGGGATGGAATGTATTCATTCGCGCATTTCGTGTGCATCGTTTATTAACTCTTAAACTGCTCGGAACGCGTAAATTTCCCTTGTTTAAATACGCATTACCAGATAAGCCGCTCCGCCATTTCTGCGTTTGCAAATTGCCGTTCACTTAACGTCTATTTTATTGCACGTTTCTATTAATATATAGATTCTACCTTTAATTTTACGATCAATGTAAAATTAACATTTCATCTATTTATTTAAGTATTTCAACTTTAATCTTCATCTATTATAAAGGGTGTCCCAAAATTAACGCAAGATTTAAATTTGCCGCCATTTCTGCAGTAAAGTGTTGATAACCCCAAAAAAAAACAATTTGACACTTTACTGCATATTTATAAATGATGTCCCAAAATTAACGAAAGATTTAAATTTGCCGCCATTTGTGCAGAAATCTTGCGTTGATTTTGGGACACCCTTTATAATCTTATAAATCATCTATGAAAAAAATATAATAAAAAATGTCAATTCACCACGATTATTATTAGTATTTTTTAATGTAATTCATCAAAGTTTGCAAATTTATTATATAAAGAAATTTATTGTTTAGTTGTTTGTTATATATTAAAATCTAAACTGATGATCAATACAAAAAAAATTAGGACTGTTGTGTAAATTGAATACGGTAATTCATGAATACAGGTATTCCGCGACTTACGAACGAAATTATATAATCTCTAAGTTGTTACAAGGAGATATATAGTGATACAAAAATTAATTTCTGCGTTTGCAAATTGCCGTTCACTTAACGTCTATTTTATTGCACGTTTCTATTAATATATAGATTCTACCTTTAATTTTACTATCAATGTAAAATTAACATTTCATCTATTTATTTAAGTATTTCAACTTTAATCTTCATCTATTATAAAGGGTGTCCCAAAATTAACGCAAGATTTAAATTTGCCGCCATCTGTTCAGTAAAGTGTTGACAACCCAAAAAAAAGACAATTTGATACTATACTGCATAAATGGCGGCAAATTCATATCTTGCATTAATTTTGGGACACCTTTTATAATCTATGTAATATTAGTAATTTTTAATGTAATTTATCAAAGTTTGCAATAATCTGCATTGATTATATAAAGAAATTTATTGTTTAGTTGTTTGTAAAATATTAAAATCTAAACTGATGATCAATACAAAAAAAAATAGAACTGTTGTGTAAATTGAATATTAATATGTCAATTAATGAAATACAGGTATCTTCCGACTTACGAACTCTTGGACTTACGAACAAAATTTTAATAATCTCTAACTTGTTACAAGGAAATATATAGTGATACAAAAATTAATTGTCCAAACAAAAATTGATATTTTCTTTAATTAAATATAATAGTTTTGTTGCATTTGTTTCTTTTGTCGATTTTTATTAAATAATTGTGATGTCTGCATTGAAAAGTAATTGTAAGTTAGTATTTTGTTTATTTTAATCTTTTTTTGAAATTTATGCAGTGTGATTAAATAAGTTTTTATTGAAATTTTTAAAATTCCCCCGACTTACGAACAAATTCGACTTACGAACAACCCTTTAAAACGGAACTAGTTTGTAAGTCAAGGGATACCTGTATATACTAAAATAATGATAGTTTTTAGTCCTTGTATGCTTTGAGAAAGTTTTTTTTTGTAATTTTAGTTAAACATGTTTAATTAATAATTACAAAACAAATCCAATTAAAAAAAACAATTTTATCAAAAACGACAGAAAAAAATGAAAACTAAATTAACAATGAATTGGATTTGTTTTTTTCTTTGTAAATTTTCTGTAAATAAATTAATTGAATTGTTTAATGTTATGGGAGGAAATGGGTAAACGTTTTGACATCATTGAGAAGGGATTTCCCGGTTGATCGGATCCAGGGTTAGGATGAAACATGTTTAGGGTATTTGAGTGGTACACTCTTATGTGTATATGTGAGTGGTGTGATTTTATTTTAAGTGGATATTTGATTTACCGTAAAGCCTGATGGATCCTTCGGTCTCCCCAAGGGAGTTCTTCGATATGCATCTGTAGTTGCCAAAGTCACCGACCTGGAGGTTGCGCACCGTCAGCTTCATGTGGGCCCTGTAACTGTTCTCCATCGTTTCGGTGCCGTACTTCTTGGTAGGCAGAAGCATCACGTTGTCGTAGACCCAGTAACTTATGGCCCTTGGATAGGCCTCAGTGTGACAATCGATCGTTACATCCGTCCCAGCCGGTGCTCCAACCAACTGATTCGGGACCCAAATCATCGGAGAAACTAAAATAACAGAAGCAAACAAGAATTAATTAATTAATTAATTATTTAATTAAAAAAGACAAAAATCATAAACATGGATCAGAGTTCATAGACCTATACTCCTAGCACAGCTTAGTATGCATGGGATGATTTTGTGGATAATATCGATAATAAATTTCATGGGACTACCCCCGTTCTTCCGCGCCCCCAAAAACCACTCCTCGAACCTCGTAATTATATAGGCGATATAATTTATTATCTGTTCATGCAACGGGACGTATTGATATAGTATACATGTTTATACAGGAGACTTTGTGACTCGACTCTCTACTGTATGGAACTGAACTAAATCATGTAGAGAGAGAATTTGCACGGCGTCCTCAATAGAGATCTGTGCCGGATAGCACTGCAGGCCTACGATAATAACATCATATCATGGGCCAAACGACCATGCCATTAGCGACATATTATATGCCAGAAACTGCCACTGCTAACTACGCTCACGCCGATACCATACCTACTTCATCCTCAACCACCTCAACTGCACACTCGACACTCCATCACCAGAAAACCGTATCATTATTAATACTTTAACCATGAATTTCCTTCTCAAAGTTATCGGTTTTACACTACAACAGTAGTTTCAATTCTTTTGTCCCATCAATTATCCCATTAAGAATTTCATTGTTTCTTTTACATGAAAAAAGATTGGGAAACACTGCACTACAACATCTCAAATCCCAACTTCAAACAAGTCACCTAATCGTAAATAATCTACGAGCAACTTAATTATTATTAATTATTCCAACCGAGACCCTCTGAAAATCATTTGCATAACCCGAATCTGCGATTACGTAAATCAAACAGCTTGTAAGACCCCACACACGAAACATTAAACCTACGAAATTCCCCCCAACGTTTACACGGCGATTATTTTTTTTTGTTCTTACATGCATTTACCGGCACGCAAACCGCGCAAAAAAAAACAGAAATGATTAAACACGAAAAATAATATAAATATACAACGTGTAAGTAATAATTCTTATTACGACAAATAATTAAACAAGCAAAGATTAAAAATATGACAAGTTTTATCGGAACATTAATTTATCATATTTAAGTTTGAAAACTCGTTTAAAATGAACAGTAAACAAACAAAAGTTTAAAAAAAAAAAAACTTAAGTAACGTAAAAATATATGAATTATACAGGTTATCATAAAACAAACATAACGATTAAGTATATATAATAAAGCTTAATCATTAAACGTTTACATAAAGCGCGCAGGGAGGGCAAAATTTAAAGCGTCCTAAAGCTCGCAAACTGCTCTTCATTTCCTGCACTTTAACGGCGCCCTTCCAGCAGTTCGAAACCGTTTCGCCCGAGTCAATTATCCGAAATGGCCGTACCGACATAATATTATTAATTGAACATTCATTTCGCCGAACATATGCATTGCTTTACGGTTCACATTTCAATTAGCTGAACATCTCAACGTTTTCTCTCTTATAATCAAAATGATTCAATAAAATAAATTCTACTAATTATATACTTTTTTGTTATTATTATTAATAATTCGTGTATTTATTTTATAAAATTTTTATTTCAACAAATTACTTTAATAATCGTTAAAAAAATTTTAACGTTTTGTGTCATTATTAATGTTTTACCAAATTTGTTATAAAAAGGACAAATCTTAAAAATAATCTTGGAACTATGCAAAATCTGTGTATTAATTTCAAATAAATTTTGTTAAAGATTCATATTTTACAAAGTTTGAAAAGTTTTGTTGTACAAAAGAAAGAAATAATAATCAGTATATAAAATGTCATTATAGAAATCATTGAATTTCGTTCTGTAATGATGTTTTGTATTATTAACGTGAATTTATGTCATTGGGAAGGATCAAAGTGAAAGGGGGGCAATCATTGCATTATTGAAACACTGTTCCAATTGTGAACTATTGCAAAGTTAATTACTAGAAATTGGTTTGGAACGGAATAGAATTATTCCTGTTAATTGATTTAATATTAAAACAAATCAACTCTCTCTGTCAGAAATGCAATTTTGTTAATGCAAAAAAAAACAAAAAAAATAATTATTTCAATATAAATTTTGTTCTGTTATATTTTTTTGTTTAATTTATATATAAATTCTTAAAAGAAATTCCTCGAAGGGCGTTTACTTTAATGTCGCGATTAAGTGTTTCCCTTCTCGGTTACCTTTTACGACAAACACCAAAAGGTAAATATGTTAATTGCAAATTTACAACCCGCTTGTCTCTAATAGCTTATCGATTTTATACTTAGAGTAAACGTATATTTTATATTATAATTCATTAGTTTTCATTTCCTAATACAAAAATTTGTCAATAGTTGTTTGATGTTAAAATATAAATAAACTTGAGTAATTATGATGGAAACTTGGTAAGAAATTTAGTTTTTTAAAGTTACTTTTATATATTTTTTGTGATTTTTTTCTTTCAATAAATTATATAGAAAACGCAGTATTTATTTTTATAGTATTAATATTAAAAAAATGTAAAATAATTTCAAGTGTTTAAAATTTTAATAAACTGAAATGTGTAAAGTAATGAAAGAAAATTGTATTTTACAGGTAGTGAATGTTGAGTGGAAAGGAATTATTTGATTGAAATAAGGGTTGATGGCGCGAAAAATTCCGCGGGTAGCAGCAATAATATTTTGCTAAGAAAAATGAACAATGGATGGAAATATTTGCGCATCCAGGACTCTATTAGTAAATTCCATCATTGGCGGTAAAATCCGAAACGCGCTCACAATTTCATATACGGCAGAAATGTGTGTGTGAAACGTTCAGAATAGCTGGACGAAACGCAGAGATAGCGAATAGTGAATCGATGGATCGTCCGCTGCGCCACCTCCCCCCAGAAATACGCCTGCCGCCACCCCCAAAAGCGAGAGGGATGGTTGTTCCTACGATAGGACCGATGTCGCCCGAGAAAACTCATCAAACCCAAGCGCAATCCTAAATAATTAATAAATGCACCCCCGTATTTTATAGAGCAAACTTCCTGCTCCTGCTCCGAATCCGAAAACGACCACACCGCCAACATAATGATATATTATGGAATTAAAACTTACTATTACGTAATTCAATTATAGCACACCCCCAAAACTTTGCGTCGAGTTTTCAAAGTAAATTTTTATACACGGCGAATGCATGTGCACCGACATCCAAAGAGAGCGGAAGGGATGAAAAAAAAAGAAAAACATAGGAGAAGAGGTGGAGTTAAAGGGCATAACGGGGCCAAAAGATTTTTCCGGGTTTTAATTTGATAAACGGCCAATGGTACACGGGGGGCGACCATTAAAATTGTTTCCGGCACCGATGAAACTTTTATGAAAACTGGAAATGTCCTCTCCACTCCTTCGCTCATCCACTCTTCATCTCTCTATCTCATTCTCACTATGCTTACGTAAATACCGTCCTTGTTAATACGAAGCGGCTTAATTAAATTTAAGAAGTAAAAAAGTAACCGTTGCAGTTTTTCTTTTTTTTTTTGCACAAAATAGAAAATTTAAAAAAACAAACGGAAAAATAAATGAGAACAGCACTTGAAATGTATATTTAATTATATATCATTAATTAGAAATTATGAAGCGAAACACGGACAGGCAGGCAGGAATAGCGAAAAACGGGAGAGAAAATGAGCACACGAGTTAATTAATGGAACTTCCTTCTATTATTATTATTTTTTATCCTATCCTTTTTCTTTTTTTGTTCGTCGGTTCACAATGGAAATTTTTACTCTTGTGCGCTCGAAAGGACACTATCGAAACATATGCAACTCTATTGTTTTGCAATTACCATTCCTTTGGTTCCTATTGATGTTACGTAAACCGGAATATCTATTGTACATGGTACGATTTAAGATAACCAAGCATTTGCATATTGCATTTGAAATGCAGATAAAGTTATTTCTTAATTCTATCCCATTCATTATTTTTAATATTTGAATTTAATTTTCTTGTAATTTAGACTCAACCAGTATTACATAATTGTTTAATTAATTCAATGCTTTAAATTATGAAATCATAAGTTATAATATTTATATTATAGATTTTGTAAATTATTATGGATTTAATTTTGATATACTTTGATTAACTGCATGTATACCTGCGTTTTAATTGAACACTTGTATGAACACTTGCGTTATAATTGAACACCTGAGTTATAATTGACCTGCATGTATTTCTAAGTTATAATTGAACACCAATATGAACATCTACGTGTACTTATGCGTTTTAATTGAACACTTGCATGAACACCTGCGTTTTTATTGAACACCTACGTTATAATTGAACACCTGCGTTATAATTGTACACCTGCGTTAAAATTGTACACCTGTGTTATAATTGAACAGATACGTGTACTTATGCAATTTAATTGAACACTTGCCTTATCATTGAACACCTGCGTGTACACCTGCGTTGCATGAACACCTGCTTTTTTTATTGAACATATAAGTTATAATTGAACACCTGCATTATTATTGAACACCTGCGTGTACACCTGCATTATAATTGAACACCTGCGTCATAATTGAACACCTGCGTTGTAATTGAACACCTGCATTTACATCTGCGTGTACACCTGAGTTAAAATTGAACACCTGCGTGTACACCTGCGTTATAATTGAACACCTGCGTGTACACCTGCATTATAATTAAACACCTGCGTGTACACCTGCGTTATAATTGAACACCTGCGTGTCCACCTGCGTCATAATTGAACATCTGCGTTGTAATTGAACACCTGCATTTATACCTGCGTGTACACCTGCGTTATAATTGAACATCTGCGTGTACACCTGCATGTAGTTATGCGTTTTAATTGAACACTTGCATCAACACTTGCGTTTTTATTGAACACCTAAGTTATAATTGAACACCTGCGTGTACACCTGCATGTACACCTGCGTTATAATTGAACACCTACATGTAAAAATGCGTTTTAATTGAACACTTGCATGAACATCTG